GAAATGTAATATTCATTTTTCAATGCCAAGTTTGAAAGTAGTTTTCTTTTTAACGGTTTCATTTGATTGAAGGTGGGTGTTTTCTTTGCTTCCTCAGCTTTACTATTTGATCCATAGACTCTATAGATGAGACCTGTTTCAGCTTGTTTGGTATGAAGTAATAGTGTTTTGTTGGAGACAAAAAAAATCTTGACACTTTACACCACAACTTGCTCAGGGCTTTATTAGGCTGCTCACATGAAACATGTCTGTAGCAAACTACTAATTTCCTTTTTGCTGCTAGTAGTTGTGAATGCAGAAGGAATGCTGCTGGCTCCTTATAAATATTGCATTACTGAAACACAGCTCTGTGTCCACCAGGTTTTTGTGTGTTTGCATGTGTGTGTTTTGATGGACCAGTGTTCTTTGCAAGCCAGCCAAGGCAATAATCTTGGGAGCCACTCATGTTTACTCGGCCCCTGAATAGAGGTTGTTATCAGCTCTGGTCACGTTGCGTGTTCTCATTCACATGCGCTCGAAAGCCGTTTCTCATAGACACATGCACTCTGGCGTGTGCACACTCACACAAACTGGGGGCTCTTACGAACCCTTTTACACACATGCCCACGCCCTCCCCTGAGTGGTCCAGTAGAAGGGCATGCCTTTGTCAGCAGATGTCAGGACGCAGGTGTGTGTTCTTGTGCCTCTCGCTCCAGTCGTTTCATCCTCTTCTCCAGAGGCGGCCCATTTGTCTGTGGCCCTGTTTCATTTCAGCCCACCCCCCAAACCACCTGAGAGGATGTCACTGTGTCTGTTGTGATACATGCGAAGAAGCGAAAAGCGCACCGCACTTAGTGCTACAAGAGTGCATTAATTTAACGCTTACATAGTAGATAAAACTGACTTAAGTCTAAAAGTCATTATTACAGCATCTTTAATGACAGGATAGTGTTTTGGTCTCTCTTGCCCCTTTTGTACCTAAAAGAAAAAAGTAATTTAAAATCATTTTTTACATGTTCAAGTCTTTGCTAAGCACAAGATGAAATGTTTCCTGTGACAGGAACAAGAAGTGATAAGACCTTTTAAAGCTGTTAAAGTTGCTGGGACGTGTCATTGGCAGTTTAGCACCCTCAGCAATTTTCGATAGCTTCATATCTTCAGGAAACTGGTAAAATTCACTACCTGTGCATTAATTCACACATGCACACAGTGTACCTCCTCGGTCTACTCACAGATAGTGTAATAGATGTAATATAAGGCTGTGCTTTTCAGTGTCACCCTCCCACCACAACCACATTCAAATGCCTCATTGCGGATGTTAATGACTTCCGCAGAGCAACCATTTAAAAAGTGTTCTAAGGAAGAATGATTGGAGTATTTATCAGCCGATGCAATAGCAGAGCTTGAATCCAAAACAGGCACATTCTTCTTTATGCATGCTTGCACTGTTCAGTAGGTCTCTCCTTTAGGTTTATTGCATGATGCAAAACTTAAATATAGGAAGCTCATTAAAGGGGCGTCAAGGTATGAGTTAAGACACCGACGCAAAGCAACAAGCATGCCAACAGTGAATGAGCGACATCTGTGTTAAGAACCACCGACGAGGGCCAGACGAACTTCAAGGCCTTCTCATAACAGCCGTTGACAGTGTCTGAAAGTAGCCTCGAGGCATTCATCCTGCTATTCCCTCTCTGCTAGCCTCCTCCCGCCTCACCCAATCTGCCGGCGCTCTACTTTTGCTCCAACACAGGCCCTCAATCTGACAACAAAGAGGGAGATGTGTTTAGCAGGCAGGTCTTTGCTGGTTTATTCTTCCTGTCTGCTGAAGTGGGGAAGTGAAAATAAAAGACACTGTTTGTCTCTTCTTTCTGCCCTCTTCATCATTTTTTATTCTCTCTTTGTTGGTGCTCCCTTCCTCAATCACCCCTGTCCATTTGCCCTGCAGGGGTAAAAGAGTGAGGCTGCTGTTTTATAAAATTGGTTCAGTCCTAGCGTCTGATGGGCTAAGTTTGCTTACCACACCAGGAGCAGCATAGATTTGCAGCAACAGAAATCAGAGTAAGGCTTGAATTTGGGTCAAAGGGATGTAGGTGGGCCTAATGGGGATGCTCCGACAACTGATCCAGTGTCTGTGTAATCGTGCTATACTAACTTCAGAAATTAGAAAGCCATTTTAGATATTTACCCTATTAAGTCTCTAATCCTAAAATCTCTCATGCATTAGTGCCTTTTGGCTAGCAATATATCAGTAGTTGGGGATTTAATCCTGTCCAGCCACTGTTTGGGAGTTCAGTCAGTCTACTGTACTTTTTTCCCCACGTCTACCTATTCAAAACCTATACCCTGCAAAGTTTCCCGCATCTGAAAGTGTAGAATAAGTGTAATAAGATGATTTAGAAAAAGTTTGAATGAGTCATTGACAAGTCTAAGAATGACAGTCAGAGACAGACAGGCTGCAGGAAGCAAGTTTTGCTTTGTGGACAGACTTTTTGTCTTGCCCACAATTGATTAGGTCCCCTCAGAGAAACTTGATTAGACCAACACCACATGCAGCTCATCATTGTACCCCTTTAAAACCAATTAAAATATATATTAATAATTGATATTAATGTGTCATTAAATACACACACACGCATATAAGTGACACATTGTCATTTTTTTTTTCTGGATTTGATGTGTTCTGACTCACTGCTCCATACTGATTTTCAAGTGGCTTCTTTGTCTTTACTTGGAATTGCATTTAGTTTGCTGAACAGTGCATAGCACATCTTAATGATTACTTGAAATTAAATGCTCTAACAACATTCCATGGTGCACAAGTGAACCAGCAAATTCCTGGATGCAGTAGTCCCTCGATTATCTCAGGGGTTACGTTCCACACACGCCTGCAATCGGTGAAAAACCACGAAGTAGGAACACTATTTATTTTAGTATTTATTTGTATTTATATATATTTGAAGGCTCTATAAACACTTCCCACACTCTTGCAATGTTCTAAACTCTTAAACATATGTAATTTTAACAACATATGTATATGTACTGTACAGTACTGCAAAATTTTACTCACCAGCTCTGCAGAACAGCAGCTCTGTTCCGGTCTGACTCTGTTCTGGTTCGGCAGACCTACCTTGCAGAGACGAAGTCCACCGTCCAGGTTGATGTGCACGTGGATAACTGAGCTTCAGGAAGCTTCAGGATTATTTGTGACTTTCCTGCCAGTTCTGTGAGCTTAATAGGTAGATCATTACTTCTGACTTTGCATTGCAAAACGTTCCCTCCATTTCAGCAGAAAGCAGCGTCCGGAAGCACTGTTGGTTTCTTGGTAGTGTAGTTTTTTGGACTGACTTTACAGTATAGGCTTATTGAAAGAAACTACAAAATGGTGACGCCTTTCCAAAGTATTTTTTTTGTTGTTAACTTTTTATCCTGTACCGTCCCAATCATGTGAGTATTATTAAAGTTGGCAATCGTTGAAAAACCTCGAAAGAGCAAGTTTTGTGAAAGTCTAACCACAAAGTAGCGAGGGACTACTGTACTCACCTGTTCACCATGCAATGAATTATTTTAGTCTTCACTTTTACTTAGATTCATAGTTTATATGTAGGGGTCCAGCTGTTGTGCTGGAGAAATAAGACCCTATGTGGCCTGTGAGGAGCGTTGGAGAGGGTGGTTAACACATATGTCTGTAAATAATTTGTATTCTATTAAAGTTTAAAGAAGTTTGGGTAGCCATGCATATTTAACCTCCCCCCTCTCAACAGAAATTGAAAGCTGGTAAAATATTGAATTACCAAGAGAGCATAGTGGGATTCTACAGTCATAATAGTTCACACTTTACCTGCAGTGTTGTATGTTTTTTTTTCTTTGCCATGTTCCTGATGAGGCTGGCTTTCAGAGAGGTAGTGCACCTGAGGCGGCTGGGAAACACGAGCACTCCTGCTTGTCTGTCTGCATCGTGTCGGCTGTCTGCCAAAAATGGCAGCCTTGAAGAAATTTGTTACATGGAAATTGTGGGCTGTCATTAAGCTAGCATATGGCAGGTGTTTATTATAAATGATAGGGGACCTTTGCAGAGGGCTTATTTTATATGATGGGAACATCTTATAATTTGCATCTGCAGAAAAGTTGTATTTGTTCTGTCATTTCCCACTGATTTCAGCCTTTTGAACAGCTTGTGGCAATAAAATGAACTTTGAAGTAAATCTAGGAACCATGTGGAAGAAAAGCCTGCAGCAATTGTGAAATACAGCTGATTAAGTAAAGTTGGCATCTCTTGTCTATATTTGCATATAAATAAATGCTACTACTTGAAAACAGAAGACTCTTATAATGGGCTTGATTCTATTTAACCTAAATAGATGTGAGGAAAAACTTGGAGAGATTAAGATATGGTAAAATTGTGGTGATAGCACTTGCCTCTAGCGATTTTATCTTGTCCTTATTAATCAGTTTTAACCTATAATATGCAGCGGTTTCTTGTCAGTCTGCCCAAACTGCATTAACCCCGTTAGCCAGCACCACAAAACAGGCAAAACGCCTCACTGTTGGATCACAACACACAAGGCTTTTCTCCTTACTGCTGCTGCCACAAATCACCTCCTATCAGTTCTCTGGAACCACTGAGTAAAGCGGCAAACATCAGCTCACAGCTGTAGGGCTTAAGCACAAACTGGCTTTTTGCTTTTATTAAATTTAATCCATTCTACCCCAAGCTGGCTCTGTTTCACGTGATTTTTCTGCAGATTTTCAGCTATTGGGCTTAGGATTGTAAATCAAAAAAAAAAAAAATGCCTAAGGCTGTACCCAGTATCTTTAAGTTCTGTGTCTAGGATTCTTTCTTCTTTCATCTCTCTCTGTAATCAGAAACTTATTTCAGTGCAAATTAAAGAAATGTTTCTGTCACTGTGAAGGTTCTTTCAATTCATGTTAGAATTTGCTTTTCAACGCCACTAGGGTATTTATTTTATCCGCCAACTTTGTTACACTTGCCTGACTTCTTTTATCTACATTTTCCTTCCCAGAGCTTTCCGTCAGATGAAGGGTGGCCGTTCGCCAAGTACCTGGGAGCATGTGGGCGCATGGTAGCTGTTAACTACGTGGGCGAGGAGCTGTGGAGCTACTACAATGCACCGTGGGAGAAGAGAGTGGATTTGGCACGGCAGCTGATGGACATTGCCGAGCAGCTCACCAACAATGACTTTGACTTTGCCCTGTACCTGCTAGATGTCAGCTTTGATAACTTTGCAGTTGGCCCTCGTGATGGAAAGGTCATCATTGTCGACGCTGAAAACGTTCTGGTGGCAGACAAAAGACTGATAAAGCAAAGTGAGTGCTGATGTCTATCAATACTTTATCACAAATGCTTTGTGTCCAAGTCTGTGTAGGTCATTTTCTCTTACAGTGCCTCAATTTACCCAGTAAGTCTTTGTATGTCACATCCTTTAAATTTGAGCAGTAGATCTCCTGTAGCAAAAAGGGGAATATTTACATCTGTGTCCTGATTCATGCTCATTAACCAAGGTAGGAAAATCAAACAAAGTAAAGTCAGGTGCTCTGGACAGTTTCTTTCTCGTTAGTAGGCCTGTCGCAATAAACGATAAATCGATTAATCGCATGATAAATGAAAATTATCTACCTAATTTTCATTTATCGTCTTTATCATTTCTTCGTGTCTCTCTCTTTCTACTGAAGACACTGGATGACAAAATGCTCAACTCCAGTGCTCTTCACTGATCCCTCTTTTGCTCTTTTCTCTTTAAAATGTATTTTAACCGCCCAAAGTTGTGTTTTTGGATCGTTAAAAGCAGCTAAGCTGTGAAGCTAAGCTAACAGGCCGACCTCAGGGAAAAAAATTTTAGTTAGTTAGTTTATTTGACAGGGACAGTGCACACAAACATAGAACAGAACAAGTCTGTGTTTAATGCGTTGCACAAAGAGTATATAGCTACAGCTTTTGTCTTTATCAAAGCTCCAGAATTCACAGTTGAACCCTGTTCCTTCGTGTAAAAAGTTTTTCTATGCTAAATGAAGCTGAGAACTTGTTTATTGTTTTTTTTATTAAAAGCTTTGTGTGAAAAATGCTATGCTAAAGAGCTCAAACCACACTGAGCGTCCGCCATTTTGAGAACCAAAGAGAGACAGCCCATGTCACGTCAAGGGGCCTCCCTCCCATTTTTCTTAGAGACGCGCTGCTCGCTCCCTTACTCTCCATCTTTTGGTTCAAACGGTTTTATAATGCCATCCGGTGGTCGAAAAAGGTACTACACACAAAACAAATTAAACATTTCAATTAAACAATAATTACTAAATGTTGTCAAATTTCAAACAATATTACAGTTTATCGCAATAATTTCTGAGACAGTTAATCGCCCAGCAAAATTTGTTATCATGAAAGGCCTAGTCATTAGTTTCTTGCTGGAAAATAAAAGTAATTTACTTGTGACATGACTACTTGTTTAGTAAGTTTATTTTTTTCTCTGTTTTGTTTATCAGATTCTCTCAACATTGACCACAGTTTGGGGTTTCTAGAAATGAGACACTTGAGACGGTGATTAAGTTTTAAAGAAAGGCCTCTAGGGACTCACAGCTACAGGCAAATTTGCATATGCTGGAAGTGTCTTCTCTTCTAAGAATATACTCTTACAGCACCCCTTCTGCCTCTATCACTTCGTCCCCTTCAAAAGAAAAGATTGTTCAGATAACGAGCCATCTCTGCTGCCCTAGTTTTTTGCCTCTCAGAATAAACCTCGTAACAAGGTCCAAGAAAGCTATATATCACACGCTCAGCATGGCTGTTTTCCTCCCTTCAGTCCCTCTTCCAGGGGCCACTTTAGAGAAAGAGAGAGCGCAACGACCACCTCGTCGGGCCCTTAGATTTGTCCTCCTCCTGCAGAAATCCTATTAAAGTGATAAACTGTGGTGTTGCTAGGTGTTGAAGTTTCACCACTGTGCCTTGTGACAGATATGAACTATTGTTTGTATGTGAAAGAGATGGTGTGTGCGTTTGTGTGTGGGTGCTTTTTTATTTGTAGGAGACATATTGTGATGAATTTATCCTGAGAGACCGTGCCGTTTTGCCAAATTACTAGATCTGATAACAGGGAAGCACAAAGTGGTGTTCATATCAAGTTACTCCAACATGTCTTCAACATGTCTTGTTTTTTCCCTTGAATCTGTGCTTCATTTTCTATGTGGTTATGTTAGTTTGTGTAGTCCCGTGCTCAGAAGTGTGCCTATTTATTTGATTGCCAAAAGCTGCGATTTTCCACCCTGTCACTGAAAGCCTTCGCCAGTCCTGAAGCACAATCCAGGTTGAGACTCCTCCCTTTGTCTGGCAGAGACATTTGGAGCCTGACAACTCAAGCTGCTTACCCTGACCTTTCAGAGTATAAGCTTAGTTTATTTGCTTCCTCCATGTTTGTGTGCCTTGGATCTGTTTGTGTGTCTGCCAAGTGCTGCGACTCAGCAGGAAGAAGAGAGGGATCATGGCGGTAATGAGTATTACTAGGTCATGGCTAGTAGGAAACTGGTGCGACAACTTCCCAAGGCTCCTCAAACGGAGAATCCAATTTCCACAATTAGAGACTGAGATTGAAAATGAGTGGAAATGCGATGTGAAAGCCATTGGCCTCCACTGAAACCAATTGATTTGCAAATCAAATATGTGCAGTTCCAATATCTTAAGATGATCCATGTGAATTCAATAGCTTCTATAAAGAGACAAAACATGTTCAAGTTGTGCTGTGCCCTTTGTTTGCTGAGTCCAGTGGCACAAAAAAGCCGGTCCTTATCAATAAATGTATCTGGTTTCTTCCACTGTAATACAAATGCCAGTTATTCTTTCACCCCGAGACGATGACACATATGCAAACACATATGCTGCCACTCTTTCTCTCGTATTCAGTGAACCACTTCCAACGCCAGCATGCATTCTTAAAACTGACTTGGCCTTTTGAATTCCAACAGTAAGACTATGCTAACAAGCATTTCAGGCCCAATGTCCCTTCTCTGTGTAGCCTTGTGAAGGCCGAGGAGTGAGGGGAATGCATACAAGTGTAATCAGAGCTCCTTAGCATGGAAGTTACTGGATACACAGGACACAAGTGAGAGTAGGCAGTCCTGCCTTGTCTCCTGCTCTGCTCATTTGAATTGAAAATGATTTGGTTTGCTTTGGAAATGTTCTAGTATTTTTATATCCAGAACTGCAGGATGAAAATAAATAGACTTCTAACTTTCTTTCAACTTTTACTGGAGCGTCAAATGACTTTTATTTTTTTCCCTCTGTACTCATTTTCGTCCTTGACTACGAACCTAAACCTCCCTTCGTTTTTTTTTTTTTTCCTTTTCGTTGCTCTGACTGCCGTGTGTATTATTGTATGCGGGTGTAATTTTGTGACTGCTCATCAGTGTGAGTGGGGAAAAAGAACAAGACACCCTCCCGATTCCATCTGTCAATCAGTGCCCAGGTGTGATGCACAACCGGCTCCCAAGCATTAATTGCTTTCACCTCACCTTGCTGCTTTTTCGTGTACATCTCTATATGTGTCTGTGTGCTCCTGTGGCACACGGATAGATCTATCTTCATCATGCTCACTGATTGAGGTTGATGTGCCCCTCCTCTTTGGGGAGCCCGCAGTGGGGCACCTTACCAACAGGCCAACGCTAGATGTTTGATTGAGTTGTTCTGATGAGCCAGACGAGAAGTGCATTACAACGCTGATACACTGATTATGTGTTTGCATCCTCTGGGTTCACCCCCTACCCTCCGTCTCTCTACAGTGTTATTGATCTGCTTTTAATGCACAAACCAATAGCTCTCTCATAGTTCCAGATTTTTTTTTCTTCCCCTTTTTCTTTTTTTATTGCCTCCCTCATTTCCCAACTCAATCCTCTAAGGGAAAAAAAAAAAGAGAATGAAATGAGCTGGAGAAAGAATTTTATTTGCTCTGTAAATCAAGAAAGAGGTTCATTTCTGTCAAAAGAAACAATAGATCGTTGTTTGGCTGTGAGCTCTGGAAAAGCATTTTCTCTCAGTGGCTGTAGAATGTAATAAGTGTTGCTTTGGTCCTGTCAGTTGCTTTGAAAGTTGATTTCTTCATTAATAGTTAGCTCAAACTGTTAAACTGTTTTCCTTTTCAGTTTGATACAGTGAAATGCTCATTTCCCTTTGTCTTTGTCCATTTGCAGACAAGCCCGAGAACTATGATGTGTGGTACGAGAGCCGTTACGAGGAGTGCGACAGGGAGGCCTGCCTGTCTTTTTCAAAGGACTCACTTTGTTCCAGGGTCACTGTGGACCACAATTACTATGCTGTGTGTCAGAACCTGCTTTCGAGATACGCTACATGGCGGGGCACCACTGGAGGCCTCCTTCATGACCCGCCCACCCACGTAGCCAAAGATGGACATCTTGACTCTCTGTTGGATGAGTGCACCAAACCCAAAAAGCGTTATGGCCGCTTTCAGGCGGCTAGGGAACTGCGTGAATACCTCACACGGCTAGCTGCCGCCTCCTCCTCTGCCATGGCCAGGTAATGCATGGAGTCGGCGTTAGCCTGATGCACTTAGACTGGATTTTGTACTCCTTATCCCCGGACTCCTGAGATCCTGGTTCATGTACATGATGTCATTTGCTGCCTTTGTGCAATGGAGCAAGAGGGTGCTGGGTCTTGCATCATGAAGTGTGAGACTCAAACTTCAAAGCAAATTTGTGAAAGCTCTATCTTTTACCTTGACTTTGCTCCTTTGTGTTAGAAGGGTATGGCGCTAGAAAAATTCCTGCTGGAGCCAGAAAAGAGAGGTGACCTTTCGGCTCTGAGGGTGGGCTGCCTCCACGACGTCTGAGATTAGAAAGGATTCTGCTAAACTTATCCCTCACTGGAGGTCAGGCTATCGTACACCGGAGCGTCCAAGCAGCAGCAGCAACAACGTCACATAGCCCTGATCATGTTTGTCAGAATATTTATGATTTAGAACAGTACACCTTAACACAGTTCAAATTGACTCCACAGTTCTTTTCAGTTCTGAAAGTTGTTTGTTTTGTCAGGGCTCAATTTAAATCAGTTGTACTGTGCACATTTTTTGCTGTGCCATGGCTTTTTTTTCTGTAGCATTGCTGCCTGGAAGGTGAAAGTAGCATGAATCTCCTGCTGAGGGGCGGCAGGAAAGGCAGAGCTAGAGCAGGCATAGTGTAAAATCACGGGGTTGGGGGGGGTTTGGGTTTCACACAGGAGAGAAACGAAACCCTTGACAGCTACACAAGTATAATTTCAAATCAATCACTCAGTTTCCAGGTTTCAGGATCGTGGCAATCGTTTTTTTGTGTATGTGTGTGGTTTTTATTTTTATTTTTAATTTCTTTAATAGAAATCAGAAATGGCAAAACAGCTGCTCATGAGGAAAACGCAGGCGATAATTGGACTTTGGTGGTCCCTTAATGCAGATGTGCCTATACCAAAGAGGCTGTTTGTAATAAGAACTCCAGAGTTTACACACCTTTCTCTCCAGTTGTCTCCCACTAGAGTTCTACAAATAAACACAATTTTTATGAGCTGACAACTTGGATACTGATATTCTTTCCCTAAAAGAAGAAATCCAGGGGCATCTAAAACAAAAGTAGCTATAGTTAAATTACAACTCCTTTTGCTTTGTCAGCCTGCAGCAGAATTGATAAATGACCATTTTACCTTCGACAGCGATGCATACTTATTTTAAAAAGGGGACTTTTACAAGATAAAACCCACATTGTACTGCCCCGACAGAGTCCCATTCTCTTTAAATCCCAATAATTGATAAATGAATGCTATTGTTTGACTCTTCCCACTGCTGCTGAATGCAATAAGCTCTGTTGGGTCGTTGGCTGAAAAGGGTATGGAAATATCTATATTTGACTCCTCCCCCAGATTCTGACCTGCTCTTTTACTTTTCTCAGCCTCGAAATTTCCGTTAAATATTTAAACGCTCAACACCACTTAGAGTTTGGGATGATTTTACACTGTGGACCAACAAATTAAAGCATAGCAACAAATCCAGGCTGATGGTTTATGTGACATGTTCCTTAAGTAACTTGGAAAAACAAAAATCAATCCTACCTTCATGCTTTTTGTTTTGTTAATCAACTATTTGAGTATTGTGAGTAAGATGCTAAATGACAGGAGTTTGTGTAATGCAGAAAATAAGACAGGCTAATAACTAAGTGAACATGAGCCTCTTCATCAAATGGGGAAATTGAAAAACGCATTGGCTGCTTTTTTTTTCTTCTTCTTCTTCTTCTGGCGTTCATCGTGACCTGCAAGGCTGATCTGACCCTTGTCACTTAGAAAAAGCAATAAAAACACGTTTGGCTGATGAATTTAATTTGTTAAAACCCTTAAACCTCATTTGTTGTCAGATGTATTTTTGTTCCGCCACTGGTCAGATGCGTTTCAGTGTGGAAGAAGGTTGACCTCGAGGGATTCGTTCATGCGTAAACTAGCTGTTCACGTTTGTACTGTAATTTTCTTTGAGTATTATATCAGCAGTGTCTGATTTTTTCCTGTGCCTTTCATTCAAAAGTTGTATTTACAACTTTTAGTGGGTTTATATATTAAAATAAATGAAGAAATCTATATATATATATATAGATATATATACCTGTGATTTGTGTGGACTCTTCTTCATTCTGATCTAATTTTTAGGATATTCTGGACATTTGCTTGTTTTTCTCCATTTGTTTTTTTTTTTTGTTTGTTTGTTTTGTTTTGATTTTCCACATCTTTAGAGAAAAGATGAAGATGCGAGAGAGCCCGAGTTTTTGGTCGAGCTCTCCGCTCAGCTGGGATGCGAGTCCGTCTCTTATTCGTTTTATGATTTATGTATCTTTTAATCGAAGATTTGATTAAATTTAACAAATGAACCGTTCAGAAAAGCTCTACTTTGAAAGAACCAAATCAAACAGTTCAGTGTGCACATACAGAAAGCCTTGCATATTAAATGCATGTGTGGTGTTTGCTAATTTAATAGCTCTTCGTTTTCTTGCAGCTCGTCTTGAGCGAACTTCTGCTTAGGCCAGAACCTAAATTAGAAGCGGCATCACTGACACTCGTTGCCTCTTTTTTTCCTTCTCCATGGTCATTCCTCCACCTATTCCCGTCCTCTCGTCTGTAATTGTGCCTCTCTTTGATACGCCCGCTGGTTTGTGTACATGGCTGATGTCACACTCATTGTGGCGAAGTACAAGTCCCCTGCGCCGAAGCTATTCGCCCAACCCCCAACTGATGAATGGCTCCAGGGTTGGTTTGACTGGAAGAAAACAGAAAAATGAATGAGGCACCAGGCACTCAACTTTAATAAGCAGGCTTAAATAAACATGAGGCCGTTTCCAGTCACGGCCACCAGGGATTTTTCTTCATTGAACACGTAGAGGAAGAATTTGGAACCGTTTGTACGAAAAGTAAACAACAAAAAAAAGCAATATATTTGCAGAGTAAGAGTATCTGGTAATTACAGCAAATAGAACTCTATAACTTATCCCACCGCACTATCCAATTAGCATCAAGTGAGTTTTACTTCTCAAATTGCAGTCGAAACTGAAAAAGAGAGAGCAATTCATTGTGGTTTGCAGCTTTTGCCCTATATGCAAATTGCAACTCATCCGTTGGAGGTGGGGGGAATAAATGTGCTGTCTACCTTTGCCATATTCAGCGAGATTTTCTGCAAATCCACAGCGCCCTGAAATCTACCCCCATGACTCAGCTTATCAGTCAGAAATGCAGAAGTGCAAAGTAGTATTTAGTGTTCAGCGGGCCATGTTAACCAAATTCCTACACAACTTTAGCCTCGCCTGTCATCTTCCGAACCCAGAAAACTGCTGATATCTTATTCAGGTCATCAGCTGAATCAAAGAACGGAGGGGGAAGTGTGAGAACAGCCATATGTTTGATTGCAGCTATAAAATGGGATGAGAAATGTGAAAAATACCCTAAAGTTTTCTGGTTGTTGTTCCTTGGCTAAAGCGATGTAAAGCCTATTTCATGCTCCGGTGAGCCTCAGGGACAGATGGTCGTATTTAGAACCAGAGCGACCCATATTTCCTTCTTCGGAGGGGTTGATTGGTGAGTGTTATGAATAACGGTGTGTGAAGCGATGTCTTGCTCATGCACATGTAAGCCCGTTGTTTTTGGGTTTTTCCAGGTCTGGCTGAGCCTCAGGAGAACACTGATGAATCTTTGTGATCGCCTCCTGGAAAATCATCACTAATGCAACGCAGGAGTTGCTAGAAGTGATGCTCCCGTCAGCCTGCTTACATGGCTCCAACATGTTTACGTCGCTCTCGCATCTATTATGCCTCATTAGAAGTCGCTCTGGTGCTTCTTTTTAGAAAGGCTGTGCCACACTGCCATCCGACGTGAAAATCCACATGGAGATAATTTTGTTGTCTGCGTGCTTGATGAGGAGCAAAACGAAGCATCGTGGGAACGAGCGTCGTTCTGACTTTCCGGGAAGGTAATTTGGTGTCGGTTTGATGTCTTCTTTAAAGACAACTTGGCATCAGATGCACTTTAAGATAAGAAAAAAGCCAAGTGTTCAAACGCAGTATTCCACTGTGGCCGTAAACCACAAAACATTACAGCGAGGGACGAATTTCCCCCAAACTTTACAAAGGGCAAGAAAATTTCAGAATGCAACAACAAAAAGAAGCCACAACATTTTAGGAGGTGTAAGATTTAAAAGCCAAAGATAGAAAATGGAAACGCTGCTCACCGTTTGATTTTTTTTCTTTTGCATTTTTAAAACAAAATCGAAAAATATATGGCAACAAAAAAAATGGCAATTATTTAGCTGCTTTCCACAGAAAGACATTATGAAAGGTAGGTGATCATGTAATTGCCTCCGTGTGTGTCTGCCATCAAACATATGAACCGCAAAGCACATTTTAATGTAACTCTTAGAAATGAAGTGGTCCATATACATCTGATCTGATTCAAGACGACTACCACAATTTATTGTCCTTAATAAACACAAAAATTCAGTCAAATGTACAGATTTAAAGCAAATATTTGGTGTGGAGGTAGCCGAGAGTCATCCGTAACACGGACTGAGTGCTAACAGATGATCCGAGATCTTAGTTTAAAATTTTGTCATGCAATCCTTCAAGAAATGCTAAAATTCTTAGTTTTTAAACTCTTCTCTATCTTTGAGTTGCTTTGTGTCATAACGTTCACCATCAAAGTGGGTTCGTACAATGTATAATGTTATTACAAGATTAATGTACCACACCGTACCACTTTATTTATAAAGCACTTAAAAGCAGCAACAAGGCCAACCAAATTGCTGTGTAGCAGAAACAAACTAGCAAAGGACACAGGATAAAATACATAGCTCCAAATAGGTAAAGATAAGAACTAAATGACTAAGATTATAGAAAACACTAAGTTAAAAATCAACTCGCACAGTGTCAAAAGTCTGGGAATAAAAGTGAGTTTTTAAACAAGACTTAAAAAGAGTAAGAGAAGGAGCCTGTCTGACAAGCAGTGGTAACTCATTCCACAGTTTTTGGACCTGCAACAGAGAAGGCCCTGTCACCTCTGAGCTTAAAACGAGTGCCTGGAACCAATA